TTAATTCTACTGATTCCCAATATATAAAACATTAATTCTATTTATTCCCAATATATAAAACATTAATTCTATTTATTCCCAATATATAATATACTAATTGCATTGATTCCCAATATTTAAAATACTAATTGTATTGAAGGACATGTGGTCTGTATAGACAGGTCATTTTTATATCGAAAATACTAATTGTATTGAAGGACATGTGGTCTGTATAGACAGGTCATTTTTATATCGAAAATACTAATTGTATGGATTCCCAATATAGAAAATACTAATTGTATTGATTCCCAATATATAATATACTAATTGCATTGATTCCCAATATATAAAATATTAATTCTATTGATTCCCAATATATAAAATACTAATTGTATTGATTCCCAATATATAAAATACTAATTGTATTGATTCCCAATATAGAAAATACTAATTGTATTGATTCCCAATATATAAAATACTAATTGTATTGATTCCCAACATATAAAATACTAATTGTATTGCTTCCTTATATAGAAAATACTAATTGTATTGATTCCCAATATATAAAATACTAATTGTATTGATTCCCAATATATAAAATACTAATTGTATTGATTCCCAATATATAAAATACTAATTGTATTGATTCCCAATATATAAAATACTAATTGTATTGATTCCCAATATATAAAATACTAATTGTATTGATTCCCAATATATAAAATACTAATTGTATTGATTCCCAATATATAAAATACTAATTGTATTGATTCCCAATATATAAAATACTAATTGTATTGATTCCCAATATATAAAATACTAATTGTATTGATTCCCAATATATAAAATACTAATTGTATTGATTCCCAATATATAAAATACTAATTGTATTGATTCCCAATATATAAAATACTAATTGTATTGATTCCCAATATATAAAATACTAATTGTATTGATTCCCAATATATAAAATACTAATTGTATTGATTCCCAATATATAAAATACTAATTGTATTGATTCCCAATATATAAAATACTAATTGTATTGATTCCCAATATATAAAATACTAATTGTATTGATTCCCAATATATAAAATACTAATTGTATTGATTCCCAATATATAAAATACTAATTGTATTGATTCCCAATATATAAAATACTAATTGTATTGATTCCCAATATATAAAATACTAATTGTATTGATTCCCAATATATAAAATACTAATTGTATTGATTCCCAATATATAAAATACTAATTGTATTGATTCCCAATATATAAAATACTAATTGTATTGATTCCCAATATATAAAATACTAATTGTATTGATTCCCAATATATAAAATACTAATTGTATTGATTCCCAATATATAAAATACTAATTGTATTGATTCCCAATATATAAAATACTAATTGTATTGATTCCCAATATATAAAATACTAATTGTATTGATTCCCAATATATAAAATACTAATTGTATTGATTCCCAATATATAAAATACTAATTGTATTGATTCCCAATATATAAAATACTAATTGTATTGATTCCCAATATATAAAATACTAATTGTATTGATTCCCAATATATAAAATACTAATTGTATTGATTCCCAATATATAAAATACTAATTGTATTGATTCCCAATATATAAAATACTAATTGTATTGATTCCCAATATATAAAATACTAATTGTATTGATTCCCAATATATAAAATACTAATTGTATTGATTCCCAATATATAAAATACTAATTGTATTGATTCCCAATATATAAAATACTAATTGTATTGATTCCCAATATATAAAATACTAATTGTATTGATTCCCAATATATAAAATACTAATTGTATTGATTCCCAATATATAAAATACTAATTGTATTGATTCCCAATATATAAAATACTAATTGTATTGATTCCCAATATATAAAATACTAATTGTATTGATTCCCAATATATAAAATACTAATTGTATTGATTCCCAATATATAAAATACTAATTGTATTGATTCCCAATATATAAAATACTAATTGTATTGATTCCCAATATATAAAATACTAATTGTATTGATTCCCAATATATAAAATACTAATTGTATTGATTCCCAATATATAAAATACTAATTGTATTGATTCCCAATATATAAAATACTAATTGTATTGATTCCCAATATATAAAATACTAATTGTATTGATTCCCAATATATAAAATACTAATTGTATTGATTCCCAATATATAAAATACTAATTGTATTGATTCCCAATATATAAAATACTAATTGTATTGATTCCCAATATATAAAATACTAATTGTATTGATTCCCAATATATAAAATACTAATTGTATTGATTCCCAATATATAAAATACTAATTGTATTGATTCCCAATATATAAAATACTAATTTTATTGATTTCCAACATATAAAATACTAATTGTATTGATTCCAAATATATAAAATACTAATTGTATTGATTCCCAATATATAAAATACTAATTGTATTGTTTCCCAATATATAAAATACTAATTTTATTGATTTCCAACATATAAAATACTAATTGTATTGATTTCCAATATATAAAATACTAATTGTATTGATTCCCAATATAGAAAATACTAATTGTATTGATTCCCAATATAGAAAATATTAATTGTATTGATTCCCAATATATAAAAAATACTAATTGGATTGATTCCCAATATATAAAATACTAATTGTTTTGATTCCCAATATATAAAATACTAATTTTATTGATTTCCAACATATAAAATACTAATTGTATTGATTTCCAACATATAAAATACTAATTGTATTGATTTCCAATATAGAAAATACTAATTGTATTGATACCCAATATATAAAAAATACTAATTGTATTGATTCCAAATATATAAAATACTAATTGTATTTTTTATATATTGGGTATCAATACAATGAGTATTTTATATATTGGAAATCAATAAAATTAGTATTTTCTATATTGGAAAATACTAATTGTATTGACTTCCAATATAGAAAATATTAATTGTATTGATTCCAAATATATAAAACACTAATTGTATTGATTCCAAACATAGAAAATACTAATTTTATTTATTCCCAATATAGAAAATAGTAATTGTATTGATTTCCAATATAGATAATACTAATTGTATTTTTTATATATTGGGTATAAATACAATTAGTATTTTCCAATATAGAAAATATTAATTGTATTGATTCCAAACATAGAAAATACTAATTGTATTGATTCCCAATATATAAAATACTAATTTTATTGATTCCCAATATAGAAAATACTAATTGTATTGATTTCCAATATAGAAAATACTAATTGTATTGATTCCCAATATATAAAATATTAATTGTATTACTTCCCAATATATAAAATACTAATTGTATTGATTCCAAACATAGAAAATACTAATTGTATTGATTCCAAACATAGAAAATACTAATTTGTTGACTCCCATTGTCCCAAGACTTAATAGAGAAGTCCCCGTTTTCTTGTTAATTTGATATATAACACCACTGGTTGACTGGAGGTAGGTCTGTACCACTTACATCCTGTATACACGATGCTTAACCTGTATCCATTAGAACACAATCCAAGAAATATTGAAGTGTGACAATTACATATGTCAAAAACTTTCCAATGAACTTGCTATAAAAACTCGAATGTGATCAGTTTTGACCTTTGTAAGATTTTCCCATACTCACATTTTCTTTAAAAATAAAGTTAAAATCAATCTGTTATATCAAACAATTCTGTAAAACAGCTAGTTTATGTCATGTTAGTCTTACAAATGTTATTACTTCAAAGTCACATGTAGCACAAAAAATAGATATCAGACTTATTTCCCAGTTCTAACATATTGACGCAGCATGATTTTATGTATATAAATTTAATATATCTTTTTTTTTTTTAAGAAATTGTGATTGGTTATTGCCAAGGTTGAAATAACATATTATGAATGGAATTGATTCCCTAATTTTTCCGACGTTAACAAAACTACTTGATTCCAGTGTAAAATCTGATGGATGTTGCTGACGAATTATGTAAAACCGGGATCAGCGCAATCATTTTTGTACCGTTGTTTGGATGTTTCCTACGACAATCATTAAAATCACTTCCTGTAGCATGTGAACATTTGAGTCGCTGGTAACAGGAAACATATGTCTTCCTTAATGATTCCCTTAAAAAATACTAACCGAATGCAAATCTTGACACTAGCATTATTTTGGGGGGCTCAAAAAACTGGGTCACCATGGTTTTGAGGAAACAGTAGTTTATTGTGCCAGTTTTACAAAAGAATACCTAAGGATAATAGTTTATTGCTGCTGAGCTAGTCTTACTATCGATTATACGATCGAGGTACCGACACCAGCGGTAGACACTTACATAGATGGTCCATGACCGGACCCAAACTGATACATTATTTGGAAGTATCTACGAAATAAAACAATCTTTTGTACACCATTTTGACAATCAGTTTATAATGTCGTCGTTTTTCTGGTAAACGAGGTCACTTGGATCATATATAAAACAATGTAAAGCACATCTGGACAATCTATAACATACACAACTCTAATTTTTAGAGACAACTGGAAAAGGGTAATACACTTTTTTTTGGCAGATTCAGATTTAGCAGACAGTACCTTTAGAGTAAGATGCTATGAACCCCTGGACAGTATCCGAGTTTTTGGTCATTTTTTTATTGAATGTTTCATTGATCAATTTTTATTTTGTTCCCCTTTTATACATTCACAACAAGATACTTGACCTTTTATCAGTCGTCCATAATATAAAATTACAAACTAACATAACGTAAATTGTAACCAAGTGTTTGTTTGTNGGGGGGGGGTATCTGTATCTACAGAATAACACAAGAGCATAGGTAAAGTGTGACATTTTAACTGGACAATAATGACATTGTCTTAACTGGTCAATAAAAAGATCATTTTAACTGGAAATTGAAAAAGTTGAGTGACGTAATGCGAGTGTTGTAAACGACTTACTTTGCGGACGTCGTCTCATCGTACTTGGACTTGACTTCAAACAGCTCCTGTTGTACATGTTCCAAAGCTGTAATGATAAAGGACACAGCCTGTCAGAGCTACAGGTCAACAAGTCCTACTAAAACCAATAATCATCCTCCAGTTTTACATTACACAGCGGTCAGCACACTGAACAGTTCTGTAGGGGATTTCAGTAGAGAATTTCATGTTTACCTGACAATGTGAACCGTTACTCCAGACATCGATGTTTGTCACAGAACTGTCACTGACACGACGACAAGAACACGGACAGGGAAGTCAGCGATCCTCAGATACACCTAGCTGTGTATCTTCCCTACAAATGCTGATTTTCACTAATGCTATGGATCAAAGACAATGCAAGCTAAGGAAAGAAAGTCTTAAAAAAGTCAAGTAATTACTGCTGAACTACCAGATAAGCCTAAGTTCAAAGGGCATCCATGGTGAAAGTTGGTAGAAAATGATCATATTAATCGGCAGTGTTTCAGTGGTACTTAATCACGGTATGTCTCGCGGATAATTAGGCCCGGTGTGTGGATCACCAGAGGTAAGGTTGCGTCTGCATTTGGTGATGCACCTTATACCACCACCGAACTGTTGATAGCTAATCCTGCCTGGCCCAGTGTTACAACAGCGTACACACATTAATTCATTGCTAGCCCATAAAATTTCTATTAGACTGTCATCGTGTCATGTAGAGAGACAGGCAAAGTGACATGTATATGTGTAATAAATGATCCACCATTTCATCTTACATTGACTGGTCACCCAAATACTGTCCCCTCCCCAATGGTCCCCCAAATACTGTCCCCACCCCTAGTTCCCCTCCCCAATGGTCACCAAAACACTGTCCCCACCCCTAATTCCCCTCCCCACTGTATCCCCACCCTTAGGTCCCCTCCCCACTGGTCATCCAAACTCTGTCCCCACCCCTTGGTCTCCTCCCAACTGTATCCCCACCCCTAGTTCCCCTCCCCACTGTATCCCTACCCTATATCCACATCTAGAAACACAGAGGTTCCTACCATACCCCTACCCTCGGAACACAAAATCTCAACCCTCTAAAATACCCCTACCCTCAAATACTACACATTCCCTGAAAACCTCAACCCTCTAAAATACCCCTACCCTCAAAACACAACCCCCCTACACCTCCAATACTACACATTCCCTGAAAACCTCAACCCTCTAAAATAACCCTACCCTGAAAACAGATTACCCCCACCCTCTAGCGAAGGCCTATTGGAGACTTCATAATTTATAAATGAAGTACAATGTGCAGCTTGTTGGATTATTGACATTCTAATGGATCATTAAGTGTTTCCTAGTCTGTTAGACGATTGTAAAACGATGGAGTTATTTTACGAGACATAAGATAACAAGCTAATGTTCGACTTGAATGGAGGACCAGACAAAGTTCTAATTGTTATCATAACCGGCAATCTTTATATCAAATAACGGATTGCAGAGAAAATATCATCAACACTTGATAAAAAGAACATCAATATTATAACAACAATGATGTGATACGGGAGTAAGGCAGCCCTGAGTAAGTACCAAAGTACACAAGGCAGACACTGAAAACGGCTACTCTCTTTGTTCAAAGTCTCCTCAGCTCAGCATCAAGAAAACTCAAACTGTTTAATGACCACATCACCAGATATAACGAAAGTCCCTGACAAAGTACTTGTTGCTATCATTATCCAAAGGCTAAAACCACAACATTAGTTGGAAATTTTCAAAAGATTTCAACAAATATTTTCCTTCAGTGACACTAAGCTAACATCTAAACCAATCAGGGCTAGAAAACGACCAGGCGCTGCACATTTAGAAGCTACTTATTTCAAAATACACAATAATGACTTCTGTGTGAAGATAATGATGCATTATTGAGCGGAGAAAATTCCGGCATCCATTTTTAAGTGCAGGTAAATTGAAACATAAAATACCTCCATAGAATCCGATAATATCTAAAACGATTGCACAACTTGTTTTTTAATTATCAATTTTCACAAAAGTCTGCATTACTCGTCCCCAATTTTGAGGTATATATATAAATGATTGTTACGCCAGGAATGGAGTTGTGGTTTATTTTGGATGGGTGATACAAGAGACGGAGAAGTTTTGATAAGTACAGGCCTAGATCTACAAACACGAGTAATGACTGTACTCGAAGCATCCCTAAATGTCAGGCCCCAGCCCTGCACATGATAAGTGATGTAAATTGATTTTCATAATCATCAGTAAAACGGGCAACAGATGTGATATTGATCTATACAGCCAGATAAATCAAAGTTCCCTTCCAGTGCCACAAAACCACATTCCGGCTATACCTAGATCTAAACCAGCACATCTCTGAACACACCGATTTTAAATAGCTCGAAAGAATGTAATCCCGGGTAATTTACTAGTTTTAGGCAGCATAGGGCAAAAAAATTAGATTAATTTCCGCAAATCTGCAAATGACATTTGATTGGGTTTAATTTCAGTATCAATCATTGCCGTGGCATTCATCACAGACAAAAGCTATCTATGGTTTCAGTGCTCACGGTAACTCGTTATGGTTGTGCCTGTGTTGTGTATGCTTCTGATTTGTCTACTGAGCTGTCGTTAGCAAGCCGAGGCACACACACAGAGCAAAAAATGTTACACACAGTTTGAGTCCTTATGTAGTACTTTGTCAAATATTAAACGACAAAATACTTTCAAAAGGCATAACACACACCTAATACATTAACCCACACACAATCGGAGAGTATGTGTGATGGCTGGGAGACAGGACAGGGAAACCACGCTGACAGTCCCTACACAGTCCACATGACAAAGGGTGGACTACCAGAAACTGTCAACCTCTCAGTGTGGCAGACAGTCGCTACCAAATGTGGCATCTTTGCAACAAATGTGGCTTATCTAGACCTGGGTGTTGCCCAGACTGTCAATATCTACACATACATCTGTTATCGTCATGACCTTATAATTAGTTATAGCAAAACCTTCAAACAAACTGCACAGTTCACATTTATTAATGTCCAAGTGTGGCATGCAATAGCAACAAAATGTGGCCTCCCTGCCACAAATGTGGCTAATATAGACCCAGACAATTATATTAGGGAGGATACGTGACCACTTAACAATTCTGGCTGGTCTGATTGACCGGACCGTTGACTTACATGCATGGAGAGTGGACACCTTCTGTTCTGCTTCACCGAGTTTGCGTGCCACAGACAACTGACTCTCTTGTAGTTGCCGCTCCTTGTCTGCAAAGTTCCTCTGTAACTCCCTCTCCTTCTCTTTGGTCCTCGTCTGGAACACAAAACAGTCACCTACACTGATCTACTGTCATCATCATCTACCTCATCTTCTGCCATCATCATCTACCGTCACCATCATCATCATCATCTACTGCCATAATCATCTACCTCATCTACTGCCATCATCATCTACCTCATCTACTGTCATCATCATATACTGCCATCATCATCTACCTCATCTACTGCCATCATCATCTACTGTCATCATCATCTACTGTCATCATCATCTACCTCATCTTCTGCCACCATCATCATCATCATCATCATCATCATCTACTGTCATCATCATCATCATCATCATCATCATCATCATCATCATCATCATCATCATCTACTGCCACCATCATCTACCTCATCTACTGCCATCATCATCTACTGTCACCATCATCTACTGCCATCATCATCTACCTCATCTACTGCCATCATCATCTACCTCATCTACTGTCATCATCATCATCATCTACTGCCATCATCATCTACCTCATCTACTGCCATCATCATCTAACTTATCTACTGTTATCATTTTCATCTACTCTCATCATCATCTACTGTCATCATCATCATCATCATCATCATCATCATCATCTACTGTCATCATCATCATCAATTGTCATCACCATCTACTATCATCATCATCATCATCATCATCTACTGTCATCACCAACTACTGTCATCATCATCTACTGTCATCACCATCTACTGTCATCATCATCATCTACCTCATGTAATGTCATCATCAACATCTACTGTCATCATCATCTACTGTCATCATCATCATCTACTGTCATCATTATCTACTGTCATCATTATCTACTGTCATCACCATCTACTGTCATCATCATCTACCTCATGTATTGTCATCATCATTTACTGTCATCATCATTTACTGTCATCATCATTTACTGTCATCATCATCTACTGTCATTATCATCTACTGTCATCACCATCTACTGTCATCACCATCTTCTGTCATCATCATCATCATCTACTGTCATCACCATCTACTGTCATCATCATCTACCTCATGTACTATCATAACCACCTACTGTCATAATTATCTACTGTCATCGCCAGCTTCTGTCATGATCATCATCATCTACAGTCATCACCATCTACTTTCATCACCATCTACTGTCTTCATCATCTACCTCATGTACTGGCATCAACATCATCTACTGTCATCCTCATCTACCTCATGTACTATCATAACCACCTACTGTCATCATTCTATACTGTAATCATTCTTTACTGTCATCACCATCTACTGTCATCATCATCTACCTCATGTACTATCATCACCACCTACTGTCATCATTATCTACTGTCATCACCATCTACTGTCATCATCATCTACCTCATGTACTGTCATCAACATCATCTACTGTCATCACCATCTACTGTCATCACCATCTACTGTCATCATCATCTACTGTCATCATCATCTACCTCATGTACTGTCATCATCATCTACCTCATGTACTGTCATCATCATCTACTGTCATCATCATCACCAACATCTACTGTCATCATTATCTACTGTCATCACCATCTACTGTCATCATCATCTACCTCATGTACTGTCATCATCAGCATCTACTGTCATCACCATCTACTGTCATCACCATCTACTTTCATCATCATCTACTGTCATTTAATACTCTTTTCATCTTCCTATTCCTCTACCCTTTCATTGACAAGTGACCTATAGGTCGACTTATGGGGGACAGACTTGTGACCTATAGGTTGACTAACGGGGGACCTATAGATTGACTTAAGGGGACATACCTGTGACCTATAGATTGACTTAAGGGGTCATACCTGTGACCTATAGGTTGACTAACGGGGGACTTATAGATTGACTTAAGGGGACATACCTGTGACCTATAGATAAACCTACGGGGGACAGACCTGTGAACTATAGATGGACTTACGGAGGACAGAGCTGTGACCTATAGATTGACTTACGGAGGACAGAGCTGTGACCTATAAGTTGACTTACAGGGGACATACCTATGACCTATAGATGGACTTACGGAGGACAGACAAATGAATTATAGATTGACTTACAGGGGACAGACAAATGAATTATAGATTGACTTACAGGGGACAGAGCTGTGACCTATAGGTTTACTTACAGGGGACAGAGCTGTGACCTATAGATGGACTTACAGGGGACAGAGCTGTGACCTATAGACTGACTTACGGAGGACAGAGCTGTGACCTATAGATGGACTTACAGAAGACAGAAAAATGAAACATAGATTGACTTACAGGGGACAGAGCTGTGACCTATAGATTGACTTACGGAGGACAGAGCTGTGACCTATAGAATGACTTACGGAGGACAGAGCTGTGACCTATAGATGGACTTACGGAGGACAGACAAATGAATTATAGATTGACTTACATGTGTTCAGAGGACTCATCAGTGTTTGAGACGTAAATCCCACAAATCACTCAACGTATCATCTCGCAACACATTTACTGTATCATCTACAGAATCCTGTACAGAATCCTGGACTGTATAGTACACACATGTATCAGTACAAAGGGTCGTAACACACAGAGACCTGTCACACAGACCTAACACCATAACACTGTCAATAAACGCCACCAATCACAAGGTGATATCAGCCAGCCACGACATGTTGTAAGGGGCACACAAGTGTTGCTATACAACTAGTTGGCCATGAAGCCAGTCTGATGATAACTGACTTGTCCCTTTCGTAGTGATTGATACTTATCTATCCTATACAGGCTTAACCGGGCGTGACTGTCACAGAAATCACTCAACCATGCATGACCGTCACAATTGTTGATTTCATCACTGTAATCAGTGACAGTGTATTAATAGGCACATCACTATACTCCGTCTGCTTACGCCAGCAAAGTTTAACCCGATAGATGTAATCCACGCTACCGCCACAACGTCACTTATAGGCTTCAACTAAAATTGCCATTTTCTTTTTACTCAAATCCAATTCCTAAATGTTCAAACAGTTGTAAATAATTCAACAAATTTTATCAATTTCCAGTTTAATTTTGTGTGGATTTTTTTATTTTTTCATCCATAAATCCAATTCTTAAAAGCTCAAATGGCTGTAAATTATTCAACAGGCTTTATCAATTTCCAGCATTTAATTGGTTGAGAGGATTTTCTACAGAATCTTTTATTTTGAGAAGCTAATTACATCAATCTGTAGGTAATGTGGCTTTAGATCACCACCGATTATAGTCAGAGTAAAAATCAAACGACGCTGTTGATATTGAATTTGGGGCGATAATCAACGCCTGGACATAAATTGTGTGAAACCTGGAGCTTCTAAAGGAATGTTTGTTGATTGGGACGTAAGAAAAACGGCTTCCCCTCGCTATTGATGGTGATGGGTTCAGAGAACGGAGCGAGGAGGGGCGGGGCCAGATGGCAGGGTACAATCACCAGTATGAAGGGCGTCCAGTCGCAAATAAATATAGAGTTCTCTAATAGATTAATTTCAACTTCTGGAGTTGAATAATAAAAATGAAGATATTATCTCAGCATTTCTTTAACAGATAGATTTCAAATTCTGGAATCAAAAACCAAAAAGTTATTTATTTACCTTCTATCTTTTATAGCCAGGAATTACATATGCATAAAACATTAATATATACTTAAGATGAAATCTGCAAGGCCAGAACATACATCAAGTTCTTCAAAACGAAACATGGGACAGAAAACCAAGTAGTTATTTGAAACGAGATACAACAGAATTTAGTGAACTTTAGAGCAGATTGGATTTTCATGATATTTTCACAAAGAAAATTTAAAATCAATTTAAAGGCTATTGTTTAGTATCAGAAGCCCCTGCTCAGCCATTCTGCTTACAAGATTTCAACACCTCGGGACCAGCAGTATCTGATTAGCTTTAAGCACTTCACACGACCGTTCCCTTAATGTTTTGTCTCATGAGGCCTATCGCTCTAACAAATTATATTTAGGTTTCAAGCAAATTTTACAAAAAAATAAATAAAAGTTAGTTGAAAACTGTAAAGAAAGACACTGCATTATAAAAGCTCCTATGCTAATTGATTGTTTTAATCTTTTTCCCTCCCTTTTCTTGTGATAATTGTTTCAATTTTTTATTTTATTTTGTTTACATTTTCTTGTACATAACAGAAATTGTTTGATCATCAAGAGTTGGAGGCCGAGGACAATACATCAGTATAACAGTATAGCTATGACTAGATCTACTTGTGAATTAGTTATTTTAACAGAAAACACGTTTTGTATTTTTTGGAAATACTTTCAGCAGATAACCGACGATAGTAATTATGAAGATTTGAATTATTATTTTGGATTTAGGAATGATTTCAAAGGAAATCCATTGCAAGGATCAAGAGCAAATACATTCTAATTCAAATAGGCTTATTAAGACTGAATACCGTTTGTTGATATTCCAAATTTGAAAATATTTATGGATTTAATTCAAAGCTGGCTGGAAATTGGATATAACCTTTCGTTACTAGTTATCAACCAATAAAGATATAAAATTAATTTTTGTTTAAATAAAATCAGACAGATTTTCACAAATATTGTGTGTTTTCATTTCATGGATAAAAACAAAGAGTTCCCTCCCCTGTGCCGCCACCACCACCTCCTGGCTCCCCTGATAGTAACTGACTACCAGTAGTGGGTGATGGTTATGAGCTGGGGGAGAGAGGTGGCACGGTGCTGTGAGAGTAGAGGAGGGGGACACTTTTGCATAGTGCAAAACTGTAAAATCCCCCGCTTGTTAGAGATATAAGATCGTGTCTGGTTGTGAAGGCAATGTCATTTACACTGCATCATCACCAGTCCTTGTTGTGAATATTAATCAAGACATATTTTACGGCTGAATTGTTAATCAGTATTGCATATCAGTAAAAGATTTTAAATTGAGTGTGCACTCTGGATCCACAGCGTAACTGTTATAGGTAATAGGTCTATGTTAGTTGGGAATGACTGCAATACAGTAATATTAACCAAGTATTTAAACAGACAATAATGTCAAAGTGTTCGTCAAAACTTATGCAATTTGATTTATTATCCTCAAAGTCTGTCCACATGCAAAATCATTTTAACTTTTCAAAACCCTTTATACTTTAGAGGAAATTTCCTCATCCCTGATTCTTTACGACACTGTCACAGATATTCTAGCCTATTTAATCCACTCACCACTAACCTGGTTGTCCCATCATCTTGGCAGGGTTTGAGGACACACTTTCCATTTTTCTATTAAATGGTGTCTCAATAATACGGTGAACTAACTATTCAGTAACAACTAGCTGGTAATGGAGGCGTCCAAACTAATAAAACTCAACTATATTCCCATTTCTGTCAAACAGCTAACAACTCAACCTAGTCGACAATGTATTTCAATTTTATTTCAAATTTTTTGTTATTTAAATCAGGTAGAATTTAAACTTAGATTTACTTGCATTAAGTGGCATTCTAAAAGTTGTAGGCAGTTAAAATATCTTCACATGGTTTGCATTAAACCAAATGAGAAACCAATTAAATGAATGTCTTCATTGCTAGACCTGATCGGTAACAATATGAGAGGGGGTGGATTGTGAGCGTGATGGAGTGACGCCAGCGTGACTCCACGTTTACGTATACTACCCCTCCATAAGGACCAGCACCGGCCTCCTAGCCTCCCCATTCTAGCCAAGGCTCGGGGCTCCAACTTAATCAAATATTTTGATTTCTATTAGGATAAGAAAATCACCTATACTAAGATCATATCCTAACCTGATGATGGTATATTACCACAAATATTATCACAGAATATATTCTTAATTTTGTCCTGATCACTGCCAGCTGAAATTACATCCATGCGATTAGTTCCTATCAATACTCTGCCGACAACAATTCTGTAATGTTTCAACTTGGGCTATTTTTAACAACCTTTAAACTATTTAATGTCAAAAGATAGGTTTTGTCTAAACTATCCCATCATTTACCCATGAAGAGAGGATTGGGGTTGAATTTAGACTACACTCTATGGTTTCCTGGCCTTTTTGATTTGGGTCTACTTGTAATGATGTGAACATTTGTAACGGCCAAATCCTACAAATCAGATCCAGCAGGCTTACACTTGACTCTGGAATGTCGCGTACTTTTGTTCTACAAGCTTTTATCAAACACACAAATATGCAGTGTAGAATTTTATTCTAGTATCTGAAGTTTGTGCACACTTACACAGCTTCCTGCAGCCTGATTTTAGCCACTTAATTACAAACCATAATCTTGCCCTTGTGCGTCCAACATTGATCATTGCACCTGATCAAGGCGAGGGTTCCAAAAGGGGCATTTCATTGTAATCACAGTTAAATTTAGTTTTTTATTGTGAAGAAAAAGTATCTCTGTGGTATTGAAAATAATAGATAGTTCCTTTCATTTCAAATTCTGCTGTAAAATATACTGTCATTAATGTCAGCATTCAATTGTTGTATGATTAAGCGATATCTAACAAAGAATTTCTCAAGAATCTGTTAAACTAACTTCAATGTTTTCTATATTTTTGCTACTAAATGAGTTCAAAAAGTCTTTGACCTCCTGACCTAGCCACACTTATCACAGCCTGGGACCTCCTGACCTAGCCACACTTATCACAGCCTGGGACCACAAGGTTAACTAGCAGGTTTTTACTAGCACAACGAAGTTAACCATGAGTTTTCCCTGATACTGAGGTTTCCCTTGGACTGTGGGTTTTCTCTTGGACCATGAGTTTTTCCTGGAATTGTGTGGCTTCCCTGGGACTGTGAGATTTCCTTGAGACTGTTCGGTTATCTTTATACTCAGGAATATGAATTTTCAAAACCCCTATTGCTATAATTGGAATAATATCAGTGCTTCAGTGTCAGCCCAAAGCTACTTAAACAAATGCAAGCTAAAAGAAAGTAGATGAAAGGGACTTAATGAGGCTAGAGGACACTGGAGAGGTAGTCAGGACTCACAGGAGGCAGTTGGGACACTGGAGAGGTAGTCAGGACTCACAGGAGGCAGTTGCGACACTGGGGAGGCAGTCTGGACACTGGAGAGGCAGTCGGGACACTGGAGAGGTAGTCAGGACTCTGGAGAGGCAGTTGGGACAATGGAGAGGTAGTCAGGACTCTGGGGAGGCAGTTGGGACACTGGGGAGGCAGTCTGGACACTGGGGAGGCAGTTGGGACACTGGAGAGGTAGTCAAGACTCACAGGAGGCAGTTGGGACACGGGGGAGGCAGTCGGGACACTGGAGAGGTAGTCAGGACTCACAGGAGGCAGTTGCGACACTGGGGAGGCAGTCTGGACACTGGGGAGGCAGTTGGGACACTGGAGAGGCAGTCAGGACTCACAGGAGGCAGTTGGGACACTGGGGAGGCAGTCTGGACACTGGAGAGGCAGTCTGGACACTGGGGAGGCAGTTGGGACACTGGAGAGGTAGTCAGGACTCACAGGAGGCAGTTGGGACACTGGAGAGGTAGTCAGGACTCACAGGAGGCAGTTGCGACACTGGGGAGGCAGTCTGGACACTGGAGAGGCAGTCAGGACACTGGGGAGGCAGTTGGGACACTGGAGAGGTAGTCAAGACTCACAGGAGGCAGTTGGGGCACTGGGGAGGCAGTCTGGACACTGGAGAGGCAGTCAGGACACTGGGGAGGCAGTTGGGACACTGGGGAGGCAGTCTGGACACTGGGGAGGCAGTCGGGACACTGGGGAGGAAGTCTGGACTCTGAGGAGGAAGTCAGGACACTTGAGAGGAAGTCTGGGCTCTGGAGAGGCAGTCGGGACACTAGGGAGGCAGTCGAGACACTGGGGAGGCAGTCGGGACACTGGAGAGGTAGTCAGGACTCTGGAGAGGCAGTTGGGACAATGGAGAGGTAGTCAGGACTCTGGGGAGGCAGTTGGGACACTGGGGAGGCAGTCAGGACACTGGGGAGGCAGTTGGGACACTGGGGAGGCAGTCTGGACACTGGGGAGGCAGTTGGGACACTGGGGAGGCAGTCTGGCCACTGGGGAGGCAGTCGGGACACTGGGGAGGAAGTCGGGACACTGGGGAGAAATCCGAATAAAGAGGGCTGCATAATTTCATAATAAATAAGCCTGCCAATTGATTTTGAAGAATTCTTCTATACTGACCTATCTTTTAATAGACAACACTGAAAATATTCACTTAACCCCAGTATTAAATCAACAAGTCCTGGGCACTGGGCGAGTGGTATTGTACATCCCAGTTAAATACGTCTATACTAACAAATATAACTTTATAATACGTAAGAATAACAGAAATACGTCAGAACAACAGAAATGTCTGTAATAACAAATATAACTTTGTAATACGTCAGAACAACAGAAATGTCTGTAATAACAAATATAACTTTGTAATACGTCAGAACAACAGAAATGTCTGTAATAACAAATATAACTTTGTAATACGTCAGAACAACAGAAATGTCTGTAATAACAAATATAACTTTATAATATGTCAGAACAACAGGAGGCAGTTGGGACACTGGGGAGGCAGTCTGGCCACTGGGGAGGCAGTCGGGACACTGGGGAGGAAGTCTGGACTCTGAGGAGGAAGTCAGGACAATTGAGAGGAAGTCTGGACTCTGGAGAGGCAGTCGGGACACTAGGGAGGCAGTCGGGACACTCGGGAGGCAGTCGGGACACTAGGGAGGCAGTAGAGACACTGGGGAGCCAGTCGGGACACTTGGGAGGCAGTCGGAACACTTGGGAGGCAGTCGGGACACTAGGAAGGCAGTAGAGACACCGGGGAGCCAGTCGGGACACTTGGGAGGCAGTCGGGCCACTTGGGAGGCAGTCGGGACACTGGGGAGGCAGTCGGGACACTGGGGAGAAATCCGAATAAAGAGGGCTGCATAATTTCATAATAAATAAGCCTGCCAATTGATTTTGAAGAATTCTTCTATACTGACCTATCTTTTAATAGACAACACTGAAAATATTCACTTAACCCCAGTATTAAATCAACAAGTCCTGGGCACTGGGCGAGTGGTATTGTACATCCCAGTTAAATACGTCTATACTAACAAATATAACTTTATAATACGTAAGAATAACAGAAATACGTCAGAACAACAGAAATGTCTGTAATAACAAATATAACTTTGTAATACGTCAGAACAACAGAAATGTCTGTAATAACAAATATAACTTTGTAACACGTCAGAACAACAGAAATGTCTGTAATAACAAATATAACTTTATAATATGTCAGAACAACAGAAATGTCTGTACTAACAAATATAACTTTGTGACACGTCAGAACAACAAAAATGTCTGTTCTAACAAATATAACTTTATAGTACGTAAAAAATCACTGTGTCTGTACTAAATGTGTACATTACACAGGCACAATAGCAGCAGAACATTTGTTTAAAATCTAAGAATATGTACAGCAGTGCTAATAAAGCTACTTGGGCTTGAATTTGGTGGATTTTTTAATGGAAATTAAGTTTTTATAAGTTTTTTAAATTTTGCACTTGCTGCGAGGATATACATACCTCTGCTGTAGCTTCTATCTTCTCCTCACAGTCTCGAAGTCGTTCCTTTAACTGTTTGATAGTCACCTCTGAAACAAACAATACATTTCAATACAATAGTCAAAATAAGTAGTGTATCACACAGACACAGCTGGACAAGAACCATTAGTATAGGTGTCAGATTTCCAGCTAGTGTAACACACAGAAACACGCTGCACAATCAAAATTTACCTGGCTTTTGTGATCACTTATTGATCCTCCCCACTGATCAGTAGTACAGCCGATTTTCTTTTTAAACTGAAACTTTGTGTCAGTACAGGACTTTATACCTGTCCCTCACCAGATCACCAGCTACAATCAGAGATCAATACTAACCGAGATCGTAACGGCCAGGTGAGACAACTTACCTACGATCCATTATGGATTTACCTGTATTGCCAGGTCACGGGCCAACAGTAGACTTTTGAAGCAGAGTTTAATAGACATAGTTATTTACTTCTTATCATCCATCAAAACTTCAAGGGATTACATCTGTAAAAGTGTCACTTTTATTTTTTCTTTCTGCTTTTCCGTCCCTATCGGATGTAAAAGGGTTTATCTGCGGGGGATTGAGAGTGCCCTATACTGTGGCTAATCCAGCATGTAAGGGAGGCTGTATACGGTACTCAGAGCCCGCGTCTAGACAATACCGACGACTCTGTTCTGGAAGAATGTCTTAAAATCACCCTCTATGTCCTTCTCAACAGAGAACCAACCTCAAAAATAACACCTAACATAGGAACATAATTGATTAGTTTCACAAAAAATACTCTATTCTTGTTATTTCCGATTTTGAATCCCAAATTGCAGATATCCTTAAAAGCAAGCATTGATTTTAGGTTAATCATAGAAAGCAAGGGCTTTTGAATGTTTGAAAAATCACTGTAGATGAATATTGATTGGTCTGAAGTGGTGTAAGAATAGAAACGCTCTTATATTTGACAATGACAGTTCTATACCGCTCTATACAACATTAGTGCCATTGATTGCCGAACCTCTTGTGATGCCGGCAGATGAATGAACTGTGTATCGAGTCTACTTCCTGTGGTGGGCATCCGTCGCCTCAGCTCGAACGCAGGGGCGCACAGGGCCAAGGCGCCAAATATTATCCGCATTGATTTTTATCGTTTGGTAAAGATCCTCTAATGGAAAATTGATCGGGACAATCGATATCTCAAGTTTGAATGAATGTATTCATACACAGGTCTGTTTGTCAGCCCAAATGGACAGTATGCCAGATACACAATCGACTGACGGGGGATGTAGCGGGAGACATTGATTTGCGATGGGGACACCTCGGCCCCACGTTGTTTGCCGATCACAGATTTGAGTTGGTGTATTGTGAAGTATTTTGACTGATTGCTGATATCTGTGGCAAAAGTTTGATCAACTAACTACTCTTAAAAATCAATACTATAAAAATGGAGGACAGCACTACACTGCGGGGACACTTAGCTGGTGATCTTCCATCAGTTTTACATTCCCTCGCTTATATCAGGGAGCTTCACTTGTAACAATATTCTGTTAACATCTTCAAATTTAACAATAATGTCTATCAATACAATGTAGTATCATTAAGGATGTATGGTCACTGACTATGATGTAAAACTCTCCTTTTCAAAAAGTAATACAATTTCAGCTCAAGGTACCAGTAAGTTTTAGTTCATGGTACCAGTAAGTTTTAGTTCATGGTACCAGTACATTTTAGTTTAAGGTACATGTAAAGTTTAGTACACAGTATAAAAACAAATACAAAGAGTTTCTTATTTTTTTTATATATATGTGCATATAATTCAGTTCAAAATATGTACCTGTATATTTCAGTTCAAGGTACATGTAAAATTCAGTTTGAGGTAATTGTAAAGTTCAGTTTGAGATAAATGTGATAAATGTAAAGTTCAGTTTGAGTTAATGTAAAAATTCAGTTTGAGATAAATGTGATAAATGTAAAATCCAGTTTGAGATAAATGTGATAAATGTAAAGTTCAGTTGAAGATATATGTAAAATTCAGCAGATAGTATATATGTAAATTTCTGACAAATGATAGTAGTTTAATTGTTTGTTAAGACTGGCCCCTTGACACGTGGTCATTTTTGGCCCAAAAGTGTACTGTGAATTTCAGTACATATATACAAATAGCGGCCAAAAATTGTAAGCAACAAAAAAAAAAAAAAATGGAAAATTTCTGTAAGAAAAATTTCCCTCAAATGCTTGCCTGATAACTGTACATGTTTGTGAGACTAAATGTTATATTGTCCAACACAGGTGAAACTTAAACAGATTAAGTGGAACTCTCAGCTGCGTACAGATATACTTGGTTAAATACCTTGAGCCCTCTAACAGATGCTAATGAGCCACCCTTTTAACTGCACATGTAAATGTATACGTCTTCTCAAACAGAAAGTTCCATTTGTTTTTTTATCAGGTTTTCCTCGTATTTGATTTCCCAATAAAGTGAGCGACAATGGCCGTGTTATTGTATGTATACGCCTGGCTATTATGTATAAATATAGACTCGATCATCTTACAATAGGCAACCAGGATCAAGATCAGACAATTAATATTCCGACAAGTTTTGTCCAGCGTGAAATAGAGCGTATCCAAGCATTTATTGGTAAGCGATACTGTGGCGAAGCATCTCCATTCACTGCGCAATAACTATAGGCCATCATCCGCCGGTGCTCCGGGATGTTATCAGCTGATCGTTTTAGCTGGTGAAATCAGCTTCCTAAATATCATTTGTGTCATTTCGTCAAACTATCCTGAGTTATCACCTTGAATGATTTAAAAATAAAAATTCTATCATATCACTATGAATGTAGATTTTAACAGAAATTAAGACTAAGCAGAAAAAAAGGAAATGTATATACCGGTATATAATCGGTGGTACCATGGTTTATGTGTGGTTACGTGATGACAAACAGTAAACATGCAGAAATATCAAAAAACTAAACTTAGGTTCGTTGATTTAACATCACCACAAAAATGGGCTATGTACAAGTACAAACTACGAAAATCAAGCAAAAAGAAGACGTTTTTGAAAATGTAAATTCAGCTTGCAATACTCTAAACAATTCAGCTCTAAGTTAAAAGCCAAGTCCTTAGATATATTTTCAAAATAATTTATTTTTCTAAGTGTTGTAAATAATTTCTCTATCCATGATTAGCGACCTCTACACATGTACATTTTGTTAGAAATATCATTAGTGTTTCAGAATATTCCAGAAAAAAACATTTTGTGAAGTAAATGCTAGTGTCAAACCTTAGAATCCGGTGTGGATTTGGTACAGCTTCAACGCCCTACCACATCAGGGATTTATCTTCCCTCCAAAAGAGGGCAACAATATATATATTATTTTTACTCATCATTTTTTACTTATTGAAATCAATAAACATAACATCACTACAGCCTCCGAAAGTCCTCGTTCATTTCTAAAGACAGAATGATTCAATAAGACTTTACGTTTTATCAACCTATGACGATTATCAATATTTTTAAGTCTTGGCAAGGAATTTTCTCAATTTAGACCCGAGTCTTGTTTTCTCAAACTACTGTTGATAAGTTGCGGGAGATAGTGAAGTGGAGATGGGTCATGCCCTGTATACCTGACACTGCGACTGATCAGGGGTGTCGTTTACACATCACTGATCTGATCAGCGTTAGGTATCCCACGTGGGGGGCGGGGTCACCTGCAGCAATAGTGAAGTTTCGACCTGGCAGAGAGACACCTGGTGGATTACATAATGTATGTCCCATCACACACAGGTGGTGTACATTGTAATGTCCACAGCAAGAACAATGTGGTGATTTGGGGGGG